TTTTACAACAACAGTTTTTGTCTGACCATTTCTTTGGCGCCATTTTAGGGTCACTTTTTGTACTATTTTACAACAACAGTTTTTGTCTGACCATTTCTTTGGCGCCATTTTAGGGTCATTTTTTGTACTATTTTACAGCAACAGTTTTTGTCTGACCATTTCTTTGGCGCCATTTTCGGGTCACTTTTTGTACTAATTTACAACAACAGTTTTTGTCTGACCATTTCTTCGGCGCCATTTTAGGGTCACTTTTTGTGCTATTTTACAACAACAGTTTTTGTCTGACCATTTTTGGCGCCATTTTAGGGTCACTTTTTGTACTATTTTACAACAACAGTTTTTTTTTGTCTGACCATTTTTTTGGCGCCATTTTAGGGTCACTTTTTGTACTATTTTACAACAACAGTTTTTGTCTGACCATTTTTTTGGCGCCATTTTAGGGTCACTTTTTGTACTATTTTACAACAACAGTTTTTGTCTGACCATTTCTTTGACGCCATTTTAGGGTCACTTTTTGCACTATTTTACAACAACAGTTTTTGTCTGACCATTTCTTTGGCGCCATTTTAGGGTCACTTTTTGTACTATTTTACAACAACAGTTTTTGTCGGACCATTTCTTTGGCGCCATTTAAGGGTCACTTTTTGTACTATTTTACAACAACAGTTTTTGTCTGACCATTTCTTTGGCTCCATTTTAGGGTTACTTTTTGTACTATTTTACAACAACAGTTTTTGTCTGACCATTTATTTGGCGCCATTTTAGGGTCACTTTTTGTACTGTTTTACAACAACAGTTTTTGTCTGGCCATTTCTTTGGCGCCATTTTAGGGTCTTTTTTTCTACTATTTTACAACAACAGTTTTTGTCTGACCATTTCTTTGGCGCCATTTTAGGGTCACTTTTTGTACTATTTTACAACAACAGTTTATGTCTGGCCATTTCTTTGGCGCCATTTTAGGGTCACTTTTTGCACTATTTTACAACAACAGTTTTTGTCTGGCCATTTCTTTGGCGCCGTTTTAGGTCACTTTTTCTACTATTTTACAAAACAGTTTTTGTCTGACCATTTCTTTGGCGCCATTTTAGGGTCACTTTTTGTACTATTTTACAACAACAGTTTTTGTCTGACCATTCCTTTGGCGCCATTTTAGGGTCACATTTTGTACTATTTTACAACAGCAGTTTTTGTCTGACCATTTCTTTGGCGCCATTTTAGGGTCCTTTTTTGTACTATTTTACAACAACAACTTTTGTCTGACAATTTATTTGGCGCCATTTTAGGGTCACTTTTTGTACTAATTTACAACATCAGTTTTTGTCTGACCATTTCTTTGGCGCCATTTTAGGTTCACTTTTTGTACTATTTTACAACAACAGGTTTTGTCTGACCATTTATTTGGCGCCATTTTAGAGTCACTTTTTGTACTAGTTTACAACAACAGTTTTTGTCTGAACATTTCTTTGGCGCCACTTTAGCTTATACTAATGTTGAGGGGGAGCGCTTGAGTCAAAACTTTACAAAAATTTGTCAAGTTAAAGTTTCAAAATCCACCCCAGCCCCAGTTCGCCTTCGATAAAATCATAAATCCATTTTAAATCCTTTTTAGAATCAAAGCTCTTGTTTTGGCTTGACTTCTGAATTTTATATCAAATAAAAAGAAGAAAAGGTTTCTTATTATCACTAAATTGGCGTCGTAATGACCAGTTCTTTTGAGCTGCATCGGAAACTTTTACATATACTTCTGCCTCAGCAGCTGGTCAATTTAAACATTTAGTCTAATTATCATTTAGGCTGGTTTATTCAAGCTTAACTTAGACTTCAAATCTTTCTGCAATTTTCAGTCCTCAAAAGTATGAGTACTGTTCTGATTTCCGAAGAAACTGGCGGATTATTTGTGCTCGGGATGTTTTTTTTTCAGACATTTTTCGGTATTTTAACTCGCAGTTTTTTACGTATTTGCTCTGAATATTTCGAAAAGCGATGTTGTTTTATGCTGAAATTTAAAATGATATTTTACCTGTGATCTTTTTTTGGAAAGTTATGGGGGTTTAAAGATTACCAGGGAGGTTAAATTTGGGACAATTAACGCGCATTTTTTTATTAACGTGTCAGCAGAGATTTAATCAGTACTAAAAATTGTTTCAAATTGGACTGAGGCATGCTCTTTGGTTTATTTAATAACTTGCTACGTGCAAAATATATCACATATCACTTTACATAGCGTGTTGGTGGATGGTTTTAGATAAAACATCAAGATATTTGGAGTTTATTCAGTTTTTTTTTATTTCTTCAATTATTTTATTTTAATCATTCCATAGAAATTTAAAGGCAGTTACAACATTTAGGGCATTGCCTAGATGCGAGCAATCTTTTTCAAAGTTGTGGATTTAAAAGGGGAAGTGGGAGATGAACGCCCTGCTTCCCTCAGGAATTTGACTCCCTCATGGTCCTTAGGGTTGTCTCTGTTACTATTTTACAAAATTCATTCTGTCTGGTTGATCCTAAGTTTTTTCTACAGGCATATTTGAAGCCACCCCAACTTATGCTAATTTGAGGGGAGGTGCCCGCCGAAACGTTCTAAAAAATGCTCGCTAAAAACTGCTTCCCTAACCTCGAGGTGAATGATATAATAAATAGGTCAATATGGATATCTTTTCATTACTACAATTTTTTGATTCAGAAAACGTTAAAAATATTTACCTAGTTGCAAAGAAAACTTGTTTTTCAGGCTTTTTTGACAAAATATACAGATATTTTATTTCTGTAAAAGGAAAAGCTGAGTTTTTATTAGAACCAAACAGGCATCTTCACGTCAGTTCCTCTGAACTGCATCAGAAAGGTTCTATTTTTGATTATCCCTCTACCTCGGGAGCTGGTCAATTTAAAAATTCATGTTAACATTTGTATTCGGTTTTTAGTGTTTATACTTTAAGGAGCATTAGTCTCTGTTTTGAACCAATTGTTCTGATCACTAGGCAGGAAATGTTCTTCTATTTTTTCTCCTTTCTAGAAGCCCCCAAGAGTCTTACTTGGTGCCATACTGTGCCTCAAATTTTTCGTTAAAATAATTAACAACAAAACTGAACGTGACTAAATAGGCCAATTTGTCCCCAAATTGGCACTATTTTTATTCGATCAATCAAACCCCATTATTTTTTCCAAAAGATGTACTACACTTTAAGGCCAGTTTAAATATTTTGCTTTAGTTGAGTAATTGAAAAAAGGTTTGTTTTTGCATTATTTCTTCATTTTACATTAGAAGTTATCAAATATTAATTACAGAATTTGATGATTTGCTTTCAAAAACAAAGCTTTTGGTTTTCGGTTATGGGTGCCTAAATAGTAAAAGTTGACCACATAGGTAAATATCTATCTCTTAATTGAAAGGTTGGTCTTTTGATGCCACTCATCATAAATGCTCGTTGCTTGAGAGTGCAAAGGGTTCTGATTTCAAATTGAAACAGAAACTGAAATTTTATTGTGCTCACAAAGCGTGACGCCGGCGCCACTATGAAATAAATATGTTTTTATCCCTCTGCAAAAGGAATGGAAAAGCAAATGGAATAACTCGTATTGTTTTAAGCATAGGAAATGAAAACGAGTATTCTCGTTAAATACGAATAAAAACGATTCTTCTCGTAAAACACGAATATACAAACGAATCTTCTCGTGAAATACGAATGCACGAATATCATTCACGAGAGATTACCAAGTTAAAAAATAACTTCTTATTTGCTACGACAAATTGGGAGATTTCTCAATTGAGTATAAATAGAAGCTAAAAACTACTGAAATTCATTCCAACAATTTTCTCCTCACCCAACAGTTTCCAACAAAACACCAACAGTATTCTCTTCAACTATAAAATACTATCCATTCTCAGTCAAAATATCTCAAATCCCACCCTTAAAGTAAATATCGAGTCTAAAGGCAACTTGCAGTAAGTTCATACTAACTTCTTTTCTAATAAAATATTCTCCAGCGAATTTTAGATTTACTTTCTAAGATAAAAAGTAGAAAGCGCTTTGTTCGGCGTACATATTTAGGTTTTAATTGAGTGGCATAACAGCAGTTCTCCGTAAAAGACTAGGTAGCTAGTATGTTCGCCTTTTCTCTCAAGAATAAATTTTCCTAACAATTCGCACGCAGCGTGCTGATCTCTGCTCAAAATCATTTCAAATGCAGGCAACATATATATAAAAAACTCAAAATAAATAAAAAATCAAAAAACCATATCAAAAAAGAATGCTTTCAGTTATCATGGAATTTCAATTGCCAACACGATAAAAAAATAAATAACTCCAAAGAAAGTTTGTATTCAGCTGTTTTGTTTTTTTCAGCTTTCTCACGCAAAATCAGTTGCCACAAATGATTAGCAGATAAGCAGTAAATAAGTCATGATTAAAAAAACAAATTTAATTTATCGTTGGCAAAAAAAATAGTTCGAAAATGACGTTTAAAACAACACTAAATCCTGGTAAAAAAAAAATAATTCATTTTTTTATTATGATTGAATTTTTGAAGAAAACTTTTTTCCAACATGCTTATTTTACTATGAATATCGAAATGCTTAAAATGTATTTTGTTCAGATCGTTTCATCACATCATTCACAAAAAAAATGATATTAATAAAAAAAACTTCTGTAATTTTTAAGAATAAGATCGGAACATTCTGTGCTACATGCACAGCAACCAGCTATCCTGGTTATTTTTGAACTATTATTTTTTCTAAAGTCCTAAACAACTTTTTTGGTCCATATGGACAATCTTCCCCTAAATAAACCAAGTGAACAATCTTCCCCCTAAAATTAAATGACAAATTTAAGCAACAAGGCCTGCTTGTACTATGCTCAAATTTGATTAGCTCAAAAATTTACTTAACCAAGTGATCTAACTCCTCCCTATTTAGGGGGAGATAGTTCGCTTCGACTCACTTCTTATTCAAATACGACCAATAAATAGTATAACATCATGTGCATACAATTTCACCTTTTCTAGGCCAACAGCAGATCCCTCTTTCTTCCAGCTCGATAATCATCAGGTGGAACAACACTCTCATATTATGATAACAAGTAACCGACAAACAGTTTAACCATCACGATGCTTTTCGCTGTACATAATCAACATGTGTCCAGGACATTCTTCGGCTCCATAATTCTCGCAGTTTCAATTCTCAACTCCCAAGCCAGCTTCCTAGGGCTGGATCCTCAGGCATTCCAATACTTGGACCCCTCGACACTAGGGTTTCTTCAGGCCATGGAGGACTTGGAACAAATGAAAGCACCAGAGAGAATCCCCGACGCTTGGGATCTGAACTACGAAAGCTACGCCATACCAGCTGAACCCTTTGGGCCACCAGTGTACGTATGAACTAAAACTTTAATAGCAGAAAAGACAAAAAAAACGCACAGAAAAGACTTACAAATTTCAATATAATAATTAGAGCTTTTACTTATTTGAGCACTTAGAAACCGCCTTTGACTATTTAAAAACGGCTCTTGCAAAACTGTTTTATGTTTCCATTTTTTGTCTCTCATTTTCGACGATTTCTTCTTCATAATGGATCATTTGTTTTTGTTTATAAGATCATATTGACTTCTTAAAAAATTACTATTTAAGTTTCGTTAGAACTTCTTTTTTAGTATTGGTTTTTTCACTTCATTCAGACAGTCAGTTGAGTTTATCTTTCTTCTAATGGAATTTAAACTACGATGCTTAAGGGTTATATCCCATACTGAACTATGATTTACTTTTTTGAGCTTAACTAACATATTTTTCAACTGGTAGGTACATTGAAGAAATAGAACCCGAGGAGTACTACGAGCAGTTGTACGAGGAGGAACCGTACGGTGGTCTGAAGCAAACCGAAGAAGAAATGGTGGAGCTTCTCGAGAGCATGAGTCCAGCCGAGATCGACGACTTCAGCGACTGGCTAGTCGCAGAGGGAAACGAGAACTATCTGTTCACTTTTCTGCAAATGCTCGACAATCAACTGGTGGATAAATTCAACGAGGATATTGAGGAGGAGAACGAGATTATAAACGTCCTTTCCAATATCGAAAGTCTGGCCGCCGACGTTGCTGAAAAAGAGAAGGCGATGGCAGTAGCGGAGATGGTCCGACCGGAAGTGGACTATTTTCCCAAACGGACCCTGAAGAGGGAAGTATCGCCTGATTTTTACCCACAAGCAGGAGGTTTTCTGGTGTATGGCCCTGAGAAGAGGATGGTGTTGGCGCGGGAGGCCATGAACCCCGAGAAGCGATGGGGCTTGTGGTAGGCTGAGGTGATTCTGCTTTTTTCTTCATACGTAAATTTCAATTTTCACAAATTTGTTGTGCATGCATATAAATTTTACTAAGAAACCAAAAAAAAAATGCAAAAACTGCAATAATAATTTTCATTGAAAAAACATTTTCGGCGCTTAAAATTAAAACCGTTTGGCTTCAAAATTTAGCTTTTATATCATGGCACGTATATTTTTCAGAAATTAAAAACCTACCCTTCCCTTGCCTCATGTCATGGTCAACCCAATCATTGAAGCTACCCAATTTCATAAAATGACTTCAAATCAACCTGCAAATGTTCAAAACATAATGGGTGCCATAACGGGGATTTTAGGGGAGGCTGAAAACCTAATTCATACATTATATACATTATGCTCGTTCATTTAAAACGGCCCAATTTTTTTTTAATCTGACTAACGACAGGAAACAGCGATAGCGGAAAATAGGCGTTGCTTAAAATCAAACCGACACTGTTAATTAAATTTTTGACCTTGAATTGTAGACCCAAATGGAAATACTCCCCCCTGAAGAGGCTGACGAAGAAAGACAAAGGGTTCCTGAAGACGGTCAATGTGTTCAATTATTTATATAAGCAATATGGGATGAATTCAAATGTTTGTTTCGTTCCTTTTTAAAAGCTCCACCAGAAGTGCTTGAAAAGCAAACAACAATTTGAGGCAAACATTTTTTCCATTCCCGAGCTTCAATTAAGACTTGAGGCGTTTTCATTAAAGTCTAAGTTTAGTTGCAAATTGGAAAACACGAAATCTCAATATCACCTTGAGACTACCTTCATATCGATTTTTATGGATTTTGAATTCAGCGATGTCGTCACCACTCCTAAAGCTCAATACTTCAACGAAACAATTATTCTTAAAGCATATCTTTTACTGAAAAGACCACCCTCGTGGGTACCATAAAAATAAAATCTACATTTTATGAGCCTTATTGGAATACTGAGACCATTTGATAAGGCCAGAGCAAAGCAGGCAGCTAACAGTAATTATTATAATTTCTACACAAAATGTAGTCACTCGAAGCAGAAAAAATTCAAAGCACGGTATTTGATGCAATAAAAGTCATTTAAAAAAGTAAAAAATTTAATTAAAGAAAGATTTTGCTCAAAATTTTTTTAATATGTTTCCGCAATTTTATTTGTTTTTGCCCAATGCACGTTAAATAGAGTGTGCGAAACGATAGATATGTATAGTAAACAAATATGACCGTTTAGTTTATCTCGAAATTTTTATAGTTTTTGCTCGCCCTTAATTTTGCATTGAGATTTCAAAATTTCTTCCAAAAATGTGTTTTTTTTTTTCATAATCAATGTTTATCTATGGAGAACTACTTATGACTTAGGCTTAACTTACCCAACTAAAACAGCAGGAAACTTTTTCAGAAAAAAACTTGTCATGTTTAAGCAATGATACGGTTCAGTCAATGAATAAAATGAAAATATGCCGAAACATTTGCGGAAAAAAATATAAAAATGAAATGTTGCAACGTTTTTTTTTTTTCAAAATATTGCAGGTAGAATTCGGCAGATTTCGGGATTGTCTCAATATCTAGTTTTCGTAAAAACAACAAAACTACCCTTAAAAAGATTTAGGAATATATACTATTTTATTAACTAAATTCTCTCAAGTTTAAGAGCTCTCAAGACAGCTTTTTTCCTAAAATTAATACAAAATTCTTCTCAGCAAATCCATTGTGGGTCGATGATCGTTGGTAGGAAATTGATTTTTGAACATTTCATTTAGTAGCATACGTTAGCAACTTCTTCAGCAAACTTAACTTACTATGATTGACTTTTCCGTTTGATGTCAAAATATCTTTTTTGAGTTACAGCCACTAACTGTCCTTGAAAATTCCGAAAGCGTTGAAATTTTCTCTATGCCTGCGGGTTTTTTCGAATTTTATTTAAGCTTTGTATGAGTCTTTTCCAAATCCGGTGTTTTGAAATTTCTTGCGCAAACTTAATTTACTATATTGACTTCTACGCATTGTTCACTTATTTTGCATTCAAGATCTCTTACCCACTTTGATAAGAGAACTTACGAGCTGAGATGACATGTTACGAGAGCTTCGTGGCTGCATTATTGAGAAAAAAGGAGAGAGATGCCAATCACTGGATCGTTATTTCCACCAGCCTAGAAAAGACTTGCATGTGCCGGATAGATTCATTTGCTTGGACCATAAATTCCTTATTTTAGCCGTGCTGGAAGATGGATGGTCTAAAACGTAAAATTAAAATTAGCAAAAAAGCTCTCAAGCAAAAAGTAGCATTACTTGATGACTATGGAACATAATTTTACCTTTTATTTGTCATAGCGATCAATTTTCAAATCTCCCGAACAAGCAAATTTTTAGGCCTATGCTAGAAGAGCAACAAATTCATTCCACCAACTTGCTGGTGTACCCAATTGGTTTAAAGGCAGGACAAGCAACATTTTTGTCGGTGAATCAATGGTCGAAAACTTGAGAAAACTGTACTGACTAGATACAGGATCCGGAAAATTATCACATTTCAATTCGTTGGTAAAACCCCATCATAGCCTTAAAGTCACAGCAAGCGCATGTAAAGGTAGATCAAGGAACATCCTTCAAATTACGTATAACACTGCATGAAGTCCACATTATATCAAAAAATATAACTACCCTCTTTGAAGGTCATATCAGGAGACAGTCGAATCCACCGTTATCAAAAATTTTTCGAAAGAAGCAAACAGTCAACAGAAAAGTTGAGTTGAGCTGGAACCATGAGAATGTAATTAGGTTCCCGGTTGTTGGGGTGTTAGCGAAGGAAAAAAAGACAACAAAGACAACTAAAGCGACATAGGATTCAGTTAGAAAACGAAGTCCATCAGCGAGACACTACGAATAAAACAAAAACGAACATTGTGGTATAGTGTTTGGAAAATAAACGAGCAAAACGAAAAAAATAAACAAGCCAAAGCACAAAATCAAAAAAGGATTCAACATCAAATTAGCCTTCATAGATAGTATACGGCGAAAGGAGCGATTAAGAAAAATTTGGTTGAAGAATGGAAAACTATTCACAAAATCAACTGATTGAAATCAATAACAGCGACGACAACACATAAAAGTGCAGAAGATAAAGGTCTCAAAAAGTGAGAAGCTCCGACTCTGTCATCATCACGGACTAAGAATCTCAATTTGGAAATTTACCGCCCGAAAATGAACGACTCTGATCAAACAGAAGACAAACACAACCACCCAATAACCAAGCCCATCGTATTGCGTGAATGGACTAAAATATTCGTATCAGACAATGCAAGAAAGACTATGCAGAACTGGACAAACTTGGAGCAAAAGTTTGACAAAAAAGAAAAGTTCATTATTTTGGATGGTGATAAAGAATTCAAAACACGAGAAAAAATGGATGCAAATGCGATTACCACAAAATCAATATTACCGGTAAAATACCTGGACTCATCATGGGATGATTATCGTTCAGTAACTGTTGTGTATGAGAAGAACCAGACTCAGAGCCAAAACGGCAATTCTTGGCGGAGGCAGAACCTACTGGAAGGAACAATTTTGCCAACGGCTAGGCGAGCATCTCCGCCAAACATTATTGGACAATTAACAGTAATTAAGGTGGGAGGGAAATTCAACTTAATCACAGACTTTTAGAAAAAGACCATCGCTGGCCTACGAGAAATAATATGGAATTACAAAACATCAGAAGTGAATGCAGAAAACTAGAGCAAATACTCAGGCGGAACCCGATAACACGGAGCAACGCTTTTTTTCACGCAGGAACCAGCGAGAAGTGTTATTCCTAGAATGCAAAAATGCACAAAAAATAAGTCTTTTTTTAGCTTTATCAAGAAAAAAACATTGATATAGTTATAATAAATTTTCTTTTCATTAAGAGGCCAAACTGTGCACTGGATAGGCGCACAATTTTGTGTCTGTATGTTCCTGGATTCCAGAGACAAGTCTTTAAACATGTTCCAAAATTTAGGTGGATTCCGCAAACAAAATTTCAGTGCATTCCGCGTACAAATATTTGTAACGCCAATTTTGTCGGCACATTGATTTTGTTGCGGATTCCGCAACGAGCTAATATAGGCCGTTGTTCCGGATTCCCCAAATGTAAGCGGGTTCCACAAGTGAAAGTGGATTCCACAATTTTATGCGGGTTCGGCATACAATTTGCGGATTCCGCTGACAATTTGCGGAATTCGCTTATAATTCGCGGATTCCACTTGCTGTTTGCGGATTCCAGTGACAGTTGCGGATTCAGTGACAGCTTAAAATTATTAAACATATATATAGTATTATTTGATTATTGATTCCACAAACTGGTTCCGGACTCCACATATTTTGTTGTGGATTCCGCAATGTTGCTTGTTTTTGGAGCGATTTTTATCAATGCAGTATTTTAGCTATTTGTCAGTAGATCCAAAGAAGCAGAGAAGATCAAAGAAAAATAGCAATGCTGCGGATTCCGCGACAAATCTGATTTTTTGCTTAATTTGGAATCCGCTTACAATTCACAAAATGCTCAGTTTGCCCTCGTAATGTTCTTTATAAAAGCTATAAAAGCTCATGATGAAATTTTATTATGCATTAAAGCGACTTCTATCATTGCAAAATATGAAGAGTTATGAAATTTGGCAAATTCATAACGAATTTAATGAAATTTTATGAGGCGCATCTAGAAAAATGTGTTACGTAGGACTTCAATATTTCAAGACAAAACGTACGCGTGGTTAGAAATAAAAATCTATACACTTGCGCTGAGCGACACGATCTAAAAAGTTTGAGTTAAGTTAGCCTTATTAGGCAAGAATTAACATCATAATTCCAAAAATACATGTTAACTACGGAAAAAAAATCGAAGAAAATTTTTTGTTTCATTTTTAGGGCACAGAGTCGATTCAGCAGCATAATTTTTTGCTAAATTCAAAATCAGAAAATTTGATCAGAATTGTTCACTCCATTTTGTTGCAGTCCGTTTGGTCGCATAAGATTATAGAGACTTGTTCAAACAAAAACCTGCTCTACGGCTGAAGCCTTGCGTCAGACGGTTTTCATCAAACTTCTTCAGAACTGTTCAACCTTAACAACAAATTTCAAAGATCAAGACAAAACTGGTTTGCGTATTTTTTTAAAAAACGATTACGCTAATTTCACAAAACTATATAAAATTTCGTTTAGCGTATCAATTGTTTTCATGTGCTTTTTGAACCAGAATTTACATTTTTGGTTATTTAGTTGTATTGGCGGCTATTAGTCGTTTTTTTTTCACTTTTTTTCGCTAATCTTTGAAACAGTTAAATATCTTGAGGTATGGATGCTTCGCTGACACAAAAATAGTGAAGTTGCCGCTCTATATTTTTATTGCCTTGTAGCTGATTCTCCGCTGGCGCCCGATTAAACGTTATAATCGGCGTTGTCAATTTTTAAATTGACCCTTTCTTTTTTGTCCTATTCAAGGTGTCTTTGATGTAGTAGTCCCTTAGATTTTGGAACTGCTCTGAAGGATTCTTCTCTCGATATCCTTCAAAGCCGAGCGTAAAATCGCCAAAAGGAACAAAAACCAGAATAAGGAGCCAGTTACTTATCAGGCCTGAATTAAAAGCGTGCTGTCTGAC